TGGGAGGAACGGGGAAACATAACATGATCATAATGCTGATGAACGAAGATCATGGTGATGATCATGATCGTGATGTTGATCATAATGTTGTTGATGATGATGACGACAACCGTGGCGGTCGTTGTGGTCGTGAGGGGAAAGTGAGGTGCTAGAGTTTCTCGACGCGAGGCCACCGAGTTTTGGCAGTCTGGTTCCGCCGCCGCCAGCGGACTCGCCAACTGCAGCTTGTCTGCAGTACAAGATCACCAGGACACCTGTGAACCCGCATTCTGATCGCCGAGGGCAGAGGCCGCGCATCTCCCAGAGCCCCACTTGCTCCGAGGCCCAGTCTCGTCCTTATACGGATCTGTGCTAAACGGAGACTGTGGTGGGCATTAATTTGTAAAACCTCAGGCCCGGATTCTTTCGGAGGTGAATCTGGACATTTTGCATGACCGTTCTGAGATCTTTGGGACCTTGGCAGGGTGGCTCCCCCCGCTACTTTACCGGCGCCTGGACCTCTGCTGGAGCAGTCACTTGTCGAATCTGGAACTGACAAGCCCAGGCCTCCACTGGATGCGAAGGACTTGAGACAGGGAGAGCGGTGAGAAGTAGGCACAGAAAGCTTTTGAGAGAGCGAGAGAGAGGGAGAGAGAGACCAGCGCATATTGTTGCTTTGGGAGGGCTAGAACAGGAAACAACAAGGGAAGACTGTGACAGGTTTAGCTTCACTTTCACAACACAGGCCGGACAGTCTGGACATGCTTGGACGCTCCTGCTAGCGATGCTTGCTATTCTCCCATGTTCTATGTCTGTTTCAACAAGAAGCAGGAAGTAGCACAGTGGTGAAGAAGAAGGGGGACAGTTCAAGCAGAGTTCCTGGTGAAGAGCGTGACCGGGAACAGACCTTCGTCGTCTGAGTGCGTCTGTCAAGGAGCCGGGGCTGCAGCCGGGCCATACTTGCCTGGGCCTCTCGCTACCATCGCTGCCGGAGGTAGGCCTGGACTTTTTGAATCGCATCCTTGCGTCCTGGTCGTCTACCTCTGCTTATGATGATCACCATGATGACTCATTGGGCGACGGTGTGTGATCGCGTTCACAGCTGCGCAGGTCCCGGCCCTCTCTGTCGCACCTGCCATGGACGAGCGGGAGAAGCAGCAGGCCTGTCTCTAGTGCCGCTGCAAAAAGGCACACCTCAGCTCCGTGAAAACTCCCGTGTCCAGGCGCTGGAGCTCCGGGATCGCAATCGCGAGCTGTCCAGCCAGCCCGGCGGCTCAGAAACAGCGAACAAAGGACTCCTGTGTTGGTTTCATCTCACCTGCGCCTGTGCAAGCTTAAGGCTTGACCGACTGCTGGTGGACAAGTTCTCGGAGGATGCCTTGCACGACAAGTCCAAGATAAGGTCCGGTCCGGCAGAGGGCTAGCTAGGCCCCAAACTCACCAAAATCAGCCCGAACCCAGGACCGTCAGCCATGCACAGTTTCCACCAGAGAAGGTTGTGCATGTAGCTGCGAGGTACAAGGAGAAAATCAAAGCCAAGGCCTCCTCACAGTGGGGGATTTGTGTGTTGTGCGGCGAGCTCGAGGTAACAGGTGGGCCTGGTCGTTGGAGTCAAGGAAGCAGAGGCTTAAGGCTCAGGAGGAAGCGTTGCTGGCTCTAGAGACTCTACGGACATTTGGCAATCTAGGGCCGAGACTTGCCACCTAAAACCTCCTGACCACACTATACCCCACAACGCCAAACCTTATCCAGTTTCAAGACCCACTTCTGGGAGCTTTTGCCAGGATGCAAAGATCAACTCCTTAGAGACCGCTTTGGAGCGGCTCAGAGAGAAGGCAGCGCGATGTGCCCGGGTTGCCATGTTAGACCGGGCGCTGAGAGCCTCCGAGGCAAACCCAGTCCGAACAGGTCAATGTCCCTGGTTTTATAGCTCTTGGGCCTGGCGCTGCAAGGCTCGCCACATTGAAGGCTCCATGCGCCACGATGCGCAACAGTTCGGGGCCGAGAGTCCTCAAACAGACCTTCAGGAGCAGGCGAGCTGAGACTGAGAGGATGTGGCGTGTGGGCCAGCGTCCCCAAGTGCACTGTTGCTGACGTTTCACTCTGGATATGTTGGAATATGTTGGAATCGTAGCTGCAGCAAAACCTGCAGTAAGGAGTTGGCAATGTGACTAGGGTGCAACCGATCGTGCACGCTCGGTGGATTTGGAAGTAACATGCATATTCGGCCCTCGTCGGCTGTCGGCACGGGCTTGCGGATCCGTTTTAGGGTTGATGGGTACGTTTACCAACGACATCCAACAAATTCAGAAGAGTAGTTGCTTTTGTTGACACACGCTCGAACCTAGCAGCCGGAGACAAGCCGTGAAGGGGCTCTGAGTTGCGAGTGGTACGAGCCTCAGGCTTGCCATCGATGTGGCAGTGCTTTCGACAGAACTCCACCACGCTCAGGTCTGGTTCAGCTTTCCTTCGCATGCTTTGGTGTTTGTTGTCGTGTTTTGCCGGATTTGCTGAGAGGTGCACGGCTCCTTGCCGGAGGAGAACTCCGGTCTACGAGCCCAGCTGGCACAGGCACATACCCTGAACCCTGCCGAATCAACGGTCGCTGGTGTCGTCCAGGCAATTGCCTCTGCCGATGAGATGAAGAGGCACAAAGGGCAGTGCCTCAGGGCTGAACCCCAGCCTCCGTCCCTTCTTTCCGGGCTCTCGGAGCTCCCTGCCTTGCAAAGGAAGATGCCCCATCCCACGTTCCGGCTCAGGTTGCAGCAGGCACAAAACAAGGAAGGGATCCCCATGAGTGGCATTGGACGCTACATCGGTCCATGTCCGTGAAGGTTCTAGATGTTACAAGTAGATGGCCCAATGCACCTCCAAGAACAGGCAATAGGTTTCGCTGTTTCGCTGCCTGCTTAGATGTAGGCATGGCCGTGCCCTGCGTGTGAGACACCGGGGAGCCTGGAGTTCGTCCCATGCCGAAGATGGAGACGGGACATGGAACCAGCCACGCAGACGCGATTGCGTGCTTGCAGAAGATTTTCGCAAAGAACCACACGGGCTTTGGTTCCGACATCACCGATGAGAACATCGATCCTGGGAACCTGCAGTATGGCGAGGTCACCTACCAAGGCATGCAGCCCTTGTACAGTGCTCTGGACCTGAGGCCAGGCGATGTCTTTTATGACCTGGGCTGTGGCGTTGGGAAGCTGGTGCTCTACGTGGCCCTTCGGGGCGACGCACAGCGATCCGTGGGCCTGGAAGTGGGCCAGCGGCGCTTTCTGCTGGCGGAGGGGGCCCGCTGCTCCCTGGATGAGGACCGGACCCTGGGACCCCGGACCTCCTCGGCCCTCCTGGTTCCAGCACGGTTTTTTTTGGCGCAGGAGCTTGACTCCCTCAAGAAGACGGGCAAGTCCCAGCCCTCTTCGACGGAATACAAGTTCATGACGCTTGGTGGCAGAAGAAAATTTCTTCGAGGCCTAAGCTCGGTGTTGACCTCTTTTGGCCCAGGCTTGCGGACATTAGCAGGCACGAACCTCAGTCCCCAAACTCCAGATTGTGCTAAACGTGCGCTTTTGTCTTAATGCCTGCAGGCACCGCTACTTGGATCCCACGGATGCTCGGCTTGATGCCATGCTGCTTCACTGCTTCGTATTGTTTCGCGCTGCTACGCGATGCTTGCCGTCTTTTGCGTGCTTGGCCTGTGGTCATGATCTCCTGTTATGAAGGTCGCAGTCCTCACCAACCTCTGCATGGACATGGGCGTCCAAAGCCGCACGGTCAACTGTCTCCTGCGCTGTCCCTCCTTCAGGTCGCAGCGTGGCAGCAGTCTGATCTTGCTTTGCCTAGAACTTGGCAAGCCAGGCGACTGGTGAGCATCACTCCACTCCTTCATTCCAGGCGCGCCTCTTCCTGACACCGGCTGCATAGTTCAAAGTGCACGGTGTCAAGAACTATCCAATTCCTCGAAGTCTGTTTTGGAAGATGCTTTTGCAGGCTGAAGTTGGTGCGCTCCGTGATGGTCTCCTGCACCTGGGCCAAGGTCTCGGCATGGCAGGCGACTGACTCAGCAATTCGTCAGTGCACCGTTTGCCGTTGTTTTCTGTTGTCTGCTCTGACTTCTCTTGACAAGGTGTACGATGTTCTGCCGCCGCAGGAGAGGAAGTGGTAACTCTGGTAAGTCGGAGTGCAATGTAGCTGTAGCTCCGCATCACAGTCGGAGCAACAAGCATTCTCAAGCCGGCTTGACTGGTGTGTCCTGTGATCGTGTCAGGAGCCGCTTGCCCGCTCCTTCCTGACTACACCAGCGGTCATCAAAAGGTGCACCAGTGCAACGGCCCTGAAGAGGCCGACGACCGGAATCTGAAGTGCCTCTGTCACATGACCATCGATCTAGCGGACAGCGGAGTGCACGGGTGCTTGGAGTTATAGGAGTATGGGGGTCCATGGGGCTTCTGGAGCATGTGCAGGCGTGGCGCACCTTGGCAGCAGGCTTTGTCAAGCAGAGTGCTTTGCGGATTGCACCTGCGCTCACCAGGCCTCCCGAGAGCCACTGGCATACCGAGTATCGCAGCACCATCCAAGTTGCCTGATTGTCGGCTAAGGACTTAATGTTGTCACCGGCAAGGCCCGCCAAAAAGGACAGGCATTCTGGTAACGAAACCTTCACTCCCGGAGTCTCAAGTTCACTTGTAGGACACGCTACCTCCGCTGGTGAGCTCGGCAAGTTTGCGGCGGGCGGGCGCAAGAAGTTTGCCAGCGACCAGGAAGGGGGCACGCAGCCGCATGACGCTGATAATATGGCTAGTGCCTGACCACTTATAGGCGCAGCATGACTTCTGTGAAGCGGAGCGCTCTGACCTCCACTCAGATGAGCCAAGTCTTCATCGAGGAATGTGTTCGTTTTTTGTTGGAACCCCGGGCCTCTGCTGCCACTGCAGGCGCCTGAGCTCCAACTTGGAGCCTGCTACGGATGAGCCTACGAAGTAGGCTGCGACTGGTTTCAATGGCTTTCCACGAGGGTCCAAAGCAAGGCCCGCGCTGAAGACTGCCAGAATCCCCCATCTCGGAGGATTGTAGCCAGGGATGCACTGCAGCTACAAAGCTCTGGCTGTAACACAGTCATTGCGAAGCAGATGGCACCGTCGCAGCTTCTTTCGGTTCGCCGTAAGAGAGCTCGGCTTCTGAATTCAGATGCTCGGTTACTGCATAGGAATGCCTATGGTTGCACCCAGCATTGCCAGAGAGGTTCAAGACTTGTCCGGCTGGGTTCGCAGTTTCCGGGCTCCTGTCACCTGCAATTCGCGGTTCGCGGTGTGTGAGGCACCGGCCGAGAAGCGTGACGAATAGTCTCAACAGCTGGGCATCACCAAGGATGTCGGAGAGGCTGTCTCCATGGCATGGAGAAGCTGCAATCGCGCTTAGATTAGAGACAGCCAGCTGTGTACTCGTCGCAAGAAGTTTCTGGATTCTGTTTTTTCGAACTCCATTGGTCCTCGTATCATGTTTCAAGAGCTGTCATGCTGTAGTGCGTAGGCCGAGCCTGCTTTGCAGGAAATCGTGGTGGAATCGGATTGAGCTTGGGCTCTCTAAGATGTACAGCTGTCCTTCCGTGTTGCACCGACTCTGCAACTCTCCACCACCAGGTCAGAGCAGGTTCATAGGGATAGCTCCGCAGCACCTTAAACAAGGACTGCTGCCATCCTCCATGGTGCTGGCCAACTTGTGCACAAAGACAGTTTGCTTCATGGGACGAGTTCTTTAACTACAGGGGGGCGCCCTACACCGAGTTGTCACAAGGTCACAAAGTGCACCGAAGTCGGCTTCACTGATGGCCCCTTGTGAAGTTTCACTGCTTTTTGGAAAGTCAGATGATGGAATCGTAGCAGGCCAGACATGCTTCTGCATGATTTTTCATTACTCAAATGACCCTATCGCAGAAACAGCGTGAGTCTCTTGCTCGAAAAGATCACCAGCAGACACTTTTCATCGGTCTGTGGATTGGGTGCTATATCATATATTCCTTCAAACACAATGCTCGTGGGTACGAATCACAGTTGTGCTCACACTTCTTGTTGCGTTTTTATGTTTTTCTTTTGATGGTAATGAGTACTACATGCGTTGTTATTTCTCATTTCTATGAGTTTGGTTAAGATGACCTTTAATTCGTGCCCTACTGCTTGTGAATTGACTTGGAGCTGTTCTGTAGCTGTTTTGAAGACGACCAGGTCACGGTATTATTGACATTTCATGGTGATTGATGATGAATTGAACAGTGTTGTTACACGTCATGTTATTGTTACGACCTTGATGGTACTTGTCTTCTTAGATTCTTCCTACTTCATGACTCTATGCTTTTCCTCTTAGATATTGTTTAATGATGGTCATGAGTCATACTAATGCTCGACCTGTCACGCCCAATCGGCAAATTGAGTCGGCAGGCAGATTCGCGACATCACAGTCCAGCGCCCGGCTTCTGCTTTTTGTGTACAGGTTGCGCAGTGGAGCTGTCGTTTCCATGCACGGGCCACTACTGTTGCCCAATTTCCTACCTGTGGTGCTGTGACTCTGACTGGTCTGCCGACAGAAATTCGCCTTCTCCTCCGTCGCCGATCAGCGCATCATCTCCGAGCAGCGCATCAAGGCGCTTGCGCCAGCCCGGCCCAGTTCTCGACCCTGGGAAGCTCTGCTTTGAGGAGCTGGAGGAGCTCCTGGGCAAGAGGGCCGAGGCAATGCGTGAAAAGGACAGTCGATGCGATTTTATGGGATGCCCAGCTAGAGAGGAGAACGAGAAGCTGACGGCCCAGAGTCAGCTGATTCAGCAGGAGCAGGACCAGGTATCCTTGATGACCTACTCAGAAATATTCAGAAGTTCGTTTTTGGGTTGCAACTGCCGTGGAGGTTCGATGTGACATTGCAGAGTTCGAGCAGCAAAGTCGGACACTTCTGGAGGAGCTGGGTTTTGACAAGTTGAGGCTGTAAGATTTTGCACATGTTGGTTGCTGCTGCAGCAGTCTTGTCCCCAGCACGCAGCCTTTCGATCGCCGCCCCTCTCGCAGTGCCGGACCTCGCTGCCACGTGGCTCAAAGCTGCCTGTCACCCACCGAGTTGGCGGCAACACTTACGCGCAGAGCGAGGGCCCAAGAGGAAGGGAAGAGCCCGTCTGGTCCAAGTGCTACTCACAGCTGCACCTGCAGAGTCATTCAAACGCCATTCTGTCTTTACGAGGCCACTCTGTACTATTGCATCTTCGCCACCGCTTTGCGGAGGCAGAGATTGTGGCCTTGTGTTGTTGTTTTGGCGCCACGGTCTTTGCGATGCTGTTCAGCTTGCAGGGCTGCAGGTAAGGGGTTGCGAGTGGATGGCATCTTCATGTTTCGGGTTCCTTTGCGAGGTTGATACTCAGCGTACACTGCACCTGAGCAATGAACTCGAGTTCATATACAAGCAACATGCCCGGTGCCAAGAGTGGAAACGTCTCAAGGCGAGTGTCCGATGTTTGAGATGGGACGTAGATGATGGCATGGTGCTGCTGTGGCAAATGCAAGGTCCGTGGCTGTGGAGGGAGATTTCTTCTCTCAGGCAGGGTGTGGGACGTTCTCCTCTTTTCGGTTCCCTCACTAAACCCTAAACCCTAAACCCCGATAGGCATGGACTTTCCTCGTGTCCGCCCGCCTCGAGCTGACCCTGTTCCTGGCAGCTCTACTGGCCGGGGGCCCGGGCTCTGAGGCTCGGAGTCCCTTTTCTGAACGCGCACACGGCCCCTGCCTACGGGTTTTCAGTCCACCCACTGATGACTCATGACTCATGATATCCGGGAGATGTTCGGGGCATCAGCGCTTCTGGGCTAGAGATGGCATCGGCCACATCTAAACTCGTGCCCACAGCAGAGACCGGAATGTCCGAGGCTCATTTCTTGCTGTTTGGCAACTCCACTCCCCAGAAGACGAAGCACAAAAGCGGCAAGGAGCCTTCGATTCGATGCAGTTCTCCAAAGGTTGGGCAGGTGTGTTCGCGACCAGGAGGCTTTCCCGACCACAGCGCAGCAATTTGCCTCCGCCAAGGCTGCCCCGCATCTGCAACAAACAAAGCACAGTGCCAGTTGGGCTTATCGACCCTCGAGGACGTTGAGTCTGCATTGGCAGAAGCCGCTCGTGGCAATCAACCGAAGCAGGCTGGGTGTTGGAGCATGGGAGTTTCGAGAGCCCCGACAGTTCCAGACACAGGTTCTGACTTGCTGGGCTGCCATGAAGAAGTTCAATGACTATTCGATTGCCGTGCCGCTGGTAAACCCCTGAGCCAACTGAGCATTTGAGAACGGAATTGGATGAAATAGTCGCGTGAATGAACGATGCGAGGCAAGCGTCGTGGAAGCTATGCAGAAGTGCAAGAAGGACCTTCAGCTAAATTGTTGCTTCTGGAATGCTAGGACAACAGCATTTGACGAAAGAGTGTGAGAGTGACCGGTGGAAGCTCGTGTGCAGGATGGAGATTACATTTTAAGAACCTGGGCTGCAAGAGATATGTTCATGCTTGCGCAGCAACAGAGTGCGTCAGAGCGTCTCTCCAAGGAGAGGTGTGCAACTTCCTGAACCGTAAAGGAGGCCTTAGCAAGGGAAGGTGTTGGATGGCGATGAGCTTAGCCGTGTAGTTTCTTGTTGCGCAGGTTCAAGCAGCAGCACGCTGATCAATGCTTCTCTCTCAGGGCACCAGCGCATTGGTCGGATCAGCTGTGCACTTGTAATTGAACGTCAGATTGCAAGGACTTGCTGGAATCACTGGCTAAGCGTCCCGAGCTTGTTTCAGCTTTGCATCTGTTGGACCTGAACTCTTCTCCTTAAGCGTTTCGCTCAGGTCACGATTCTGACTTCGTCGAGCGGCTCCTTGTCTCGCTGCCCTCGACAGGTCTGAGAAAGAACGGAACAGCGTGTTCACCTCTCAGAGCGCGGTTTGAGCGCAGGCTTTGTGTTGGACAGCCGCAGCTACGAGATCCTCGTAAACATGCACTTCACGCCTCTGCCCCGGCATCCAACGCTTTTCACCCTCGTAGTGTTCTTCTGGCTCAAAAAGGATGCGCAACTTCGAGATGGTGGATCTGCTGGTCGCGCAGGCCAAGGCCGCCAAGGCCGGAGACGCTGAGAAGTCCGAGAAGCAAAGCAGGCAACAGCGCAGCCAAAGCAGCTCATACGACTCCTGTCCCCCCTCTCGCCTATAGGGGCCTAGAGGTCCCTCTGACCACGCGCGCCTCCATCGTGCTGATCAAGACGGCGCTGAAGACACAGAACTTCAAGGATGCCCGGAGACCCAACGAAGGAGCAGGTCCGAGAAGACGGCCGGAGGGGGGGGGGGGGGTTCCATGGGCTTAAGGCCTTGAGCACCTTCCGCGAGCTCAAGTCCCTTTGGACAGGCTGCTGTCATGCGTCTACAAAGTAGGATCATCCATATCCATGTGCATCCCTTTCGGGAGTTTCGCCGTCTGCCCTTTCCAGGCCCTGCTGCGGCGGGACCCTCCACCGCCCCACGTCAGATCGCAACCAGCTTGGTCATTGTCGGATCGTCGCTGGAGTCCGGGAACCTTCGGGAACCTTTGTCGCTGGGCCCATGAGGTTGGCCACCTCGTCGACATGGCTTGCAAGGAGATTCAGGGACGAAGTGTCCGGTGTGCATCTTGGCCTCAAGTGCTGGATTCTACGACAGGAGCATGAGCTGAAGCTGTTTCTCCCCGAGCTTGCGACAGTGCCTTTGTCGGAGGATGCCAGGGGCTTCAGTCCCGCCGAGGCTCAGTTCCCCGAAGTCGGACGCTGTGCTTCGACCCTAAGGCCATTCAAGCTATGGTCACAGAAGCCGTGCGAGAGAAGGATCCAGAGCTCCTGCAGCAGGCCTTTCTTTAGACTCAATCCGTGCGCTGTGCGGGGATGCGGCTCTGCGTCCGATAGGTTGAATCTCTTGCGCGCGAGAAGGACATCGCAGGGGGCCCCAGCTGTTTCTGCACCGGAGCCCGGGATGCAATTCGGGGGGTCCAGAGGCATTTTCCGAGTCGACCTACGGCCTGCTGATGAAGGGATACAGAGGCAGGATCTTGGGGACGTCAGTTGCCTGAGAGTTCGGACGATGGACCCGCCCCCACCTGACAGATCACGACGACAAAGTCGAGAAGCTTTTCCAAGAGGCCGTCGCCAAGAAGCCAGATGCAGGACAGCCCCTGCCGAACATCACACCTTGGCTTGGGCACAGAGATCAGTGTTCCGAAAAGCTCCCGTGGATGTGGCGGGCACAAGAGTTGAAGGCCGGGACTGTTGCAGGACCCGAGTTGTGCTTGGCACTGTTGGCATGCTGCCAGCAGCTTCCCGCTCAGACGAAGCTTGGGCTGCTCTCCGGGTCAGATGTGCAGCTTGCAGTCTAAGGTCGCGAAATTTTGCTCTCGCCTGGGGCTTAGCAAAGATTGAAGGGGCAGGTCCAGAACACACTGCTTCCGAAACAGCAAGACACTGGTATCTCATTCTTGGGTCATCGGTCGCGTGTTCCGTGGATCATAAGGGCATCATGAGGGTCCCTTACTCTCTCTTTTTTGGCTTCGGGTTGACTTTGCAGATGTTGAGCTCAGCCTGGCCAGGCGGACCAAGCGTACAAGCACTTCTCTGAGAGCATGCCGTGAGGCTCCCGGCATTGCCCCCAATCAAAAGGTACAGTAGTCATATTGCTAGCTATCACTGTAGGTTATCTATCTGGTTTACAGCTGTCATGCTGTTCAGAAGCTTTACATACACGCCTACACCTGCAGGAACATAAAGACAGACACGTTGTTTGTACGCAAACTATACTGCACAATGTTCCTATAGGCGGTTGCAGCCGTGCACATCCGAGGGCGGCAGTCTTGGCTGCTTTCCTTCGCTTCCACTTCGAGGCATTGGACGATGGGCCAGCATGCTTGCAGCCCACCATTCGCACCCTGTGAACTATGTGTCAGGTCGAGAACTACGACAGAGTCTGCGACATGTACGCCACAGCCCGAGCATGTCAAGGGCCTCGACGCCGACACACAGCAGTACTGTGTGCAAAGAGTAAGCAGATTGCAAGGCAACATAAGTCACAACTCAATCTGTGATCTGGTAGACGACACCTCCAAGATCGTCTGAATGGTTTGCTCCTGGACACATGCCTAGACAACGTGCGCCGCTAGCAGGAAGAATCGTGTAGAATGCAGCCCAGCCACAGCTCAGGAGAAGGATGCCGCCTCGCTGCGCGAGAAGGCTGCGGCTGAAGGCCCCTAGTCAGACGCAGATTGCTCAAAATCGCTGTACAATCACTTACATGTTACGTGTCGGTGAAAGTCTGAGTGCACTGGGAAATTATGTATCCGGTCGATCTGCGGTGCACTGCCTGGCAAGTGACCGTCCGTGGATTCGGACAGGACCTAAGCTGTTTGTCACAGTCGCTTTTTCAACTTTAAACATCCGTAAACCCCGAAGCTTAGAGCCGAAAGCCCGAAGCCGAAAGCTGCGAAGTTCACATCCCCTTTGGTCCTCGTGCGAAGGCAGAGCCATTTTGGACTCCCGCGTGGAGCGGGGGACACGGCTGGCAGTACAGATAGCCGAGGAATCAGAAGGATGCGCAGTAGACACGCAAGCATGAGCTAGCAGCTACCAATAATGGTAGTATAGGTAACACTGTCGGTTCTGGTACGTAATATTGATAGAAATGGTAGCAACAATAATGGTAGTAAGCGCGTAAACGATATTCAGAACGATGGTGGCAATGGCACACTTCACGGATGGCTTTTGTTTTGGAGTTTCCCTCGAGATGTTGATGCAGAGTGCACGAACCCACCTTCACCTCGACCAAGGCGGTGCGTCATGAACGCCGCCCTGAAGTGCGGGCGCAGCAAGCTGGTGCTTTCCCCCCCGTTGCACCAATGCTCAACTGTTACTCACTGATACTAGAAGCTTCCGCAAAACAAACAGGAGTCCTTCAGCGCATTCTGCCGAAATCCTTTGGCTCCGAGCTCACAACTGAGTCGTCTACAGTTCTCGGTGACCTGCGGCAGTTTGCCTGTATGGCTCAGTACGATGTTATCATTTTCGGAGCGACTGGATTTACCGGTTCTCTGATCCTGAAGTACTTCCAGTCGAAGGGAGGGTACAGGTTGGCGGTCTGCGGACGAAATCAGAGCAAGCTGGAGAAAGCGATTGAAGGTTTCCAGTCCAAACCGGATGTTTACGTGCTGGACGTGGTGAATGCTACGCAAGATGAGCTGAAGGAGGTTGTGAAAAAGGCCAAATGTGTTTGTACGGCTGTGGGGCCTTTCGTTGAATACGGAGAACCGCTTGTACAGGCATGCGCAGAGCTCGGGGTGGACTACGTGGACACCAGCGGGGAGAGCACATTCATGAGAAAGATGATCGAGAAGTATGACGCAGCTGCCAAGCAGAGTGGCTCTCGAATTGTGATTCACTGTGGACAAGATTGTGTTCCTTGGGATTTGGCCGTCTGGAAGCTCTGGAAGCTCCTGGGCTCTGAGCTCACAGGAGTCAAGATCTTCGGCGAAATGCGGAGTTGCCCGAGCGGTGGAACCATGAGCACCGCCATGCTTAACATGCAGCAGAAACCAAGCAAAAGCTCACTAGGCTTCGATCCGCTTTATCTTGCGGACGGAGCGAAGTCCGAGTGCCTGACGCAGGTCGACCTTCCGAAAGGCAGCTGGGCTGCAACAGCATCTCCTCGGGTTGAAGCTGCCGTAGGTCGTAGGGCGGCACTGGTCCTGCTTTGAGGGTATCTTGACACTTCTCGCATCATGTATACCTCCATGCCATGAGTCCGAATAACACGATTTCTGTGACGGAGTGCGGTTGAAGTTTCGGGAGGCAGCCAGTACTACGAGGAAATGGGGCAGAAGGGCGGGCCTTGGGTCATGGGGCCGGTGATGGCAAATGCCGTGCGCCGAACCAACGCGCTCCTTAAGATGGTGCCAGACTTGAAGTATCACGAGGCGGTACTGGAGAGCAGCCAGTTTGGCCTGTCGACCCTGACCACCCTCGCCTTGGGTGTAAGCGTGTATCTTCCCTTCACTCAGCCCCTTTGGTACCGGCTGGGCGTGATTCCAGAGCCCGGTGTGGGACCGAGCCAGGAGGAGATGGAGCAAGGCTTCCTGACCCTCACCGTCTTTGCCGACACCAAGAGCAAGAGTCCCAAGTGCAAGGCCGTCATGAAGTTCTACACGGATCCCGGCTACAAGGACACCGCGCGGATGTGCGCAGAGGCCGCCTTGGCCCTGACGGATCTACCAAAGTCCTCAAGGCAAGGCGGTGTCTACTCACCAGCCGCGGCCTGCGGGGAAGGCCTCTTCCAGCGGCTCCTCGCAACGGGCACCACCTGGGAGGTCACAGACCTCTAACTAACTCTGACTGACTCTAACTCAACTCAATCAGCTGGCTTGCGGCTGTTTGCATTCGCGTGGTACCTGCGCATCAAGCCGCAGGGAAAGAGCCAACAACCGCCAGTCTCTGGCTGGAGCACAGTCTGAACGAGAATTGCATGAATCAGCTTGAATGAATCAGCCGATCGCAGGCACAATCTCTCCTCTCCGACAATCCGCTGGGGCCTCGCGAACGCGCAAAGCACGAAGCTCACCGTTGCGCTCTACACCCTCGCCAGGTTGGATGTTGCCAAGCACATCACGATGATTCGCAGCTGTGCCGTGGAGCAGAACCTGGAGGGAGCCAAGACCTCAGAGCGCGGTTAAAACTTTGGCAGGAAGCGTCCAAGGATGACAGCCACACACTGCCACCCATATACTGTAGTATATATATACACACATGGAATAACACAGTTGGACGAATAACTAGGTAAATCAGCAAGAGCACGGATGAGCAAACAACAGGAAAGATTGATCAATGAACTCATGACTGGCTTTCTCTCTCTCTCTCTCTCTCTCTCTCGCTTGCTCGCTCTCTCGGTCGTTTTCTATACATATATGTATTTAAGATGTACGCGTATATACCATATAGACATAGACAGTATGTATATGCCTGTATATACTCGTGTACTATTCTTTACATACATGCATACATACATACATACGTACATACATAAATACGTACATACGTACATACATACATACATACATACATACATGCATGCATGTATGTATGTATGTATGTATGTATATATATATATGTGCACAT